TTGCTAAGGGCCTCAGCCATGTTGGGGTTCTCCCAGTCATGCCCTACCAGGCATCTTTTCTTCCTGGCCCCCAGGGGAACACACAAACAACCACACACACACACACACGAGAGGGGGGGAATCAGGAAACACTCACATCGTTGTGTCCTGAGCAATTCCCAAGGTGCGAATGAGCCTAGGCTTCCTGCTGTCCCCTCAAATATGTTATTTTCCACTCCCACCTTTTTTCTTCCCACTTATCTCCCTCCCCGCCTTGCCTTCTGAGGCTGACTGAGTCAACCAGTGCAGATTAGATGCCAAGCAATGCAGGCTCTGTACAAAGATTCAACTCCCACAGACAGGCTAGGGAGATAAAAGCAGTCTAGTCAAACACTGTCCAGAGACAGCGCAGGGAAAGCTGGGCTTCCAGTGGCTCTGAACGGGTGGTGCGTCGAACTGGTGATATTCCAGCAACTGAACTGCAAGTGCTAGGGGCATGAGCACGAAAGGCATAAGCACTTCTTCTGGTGCCTATATTTAAATACAAAAGAAAACTCAAAGTTTCCAGAATAACTGCTCTTGGGAGGTAACCTCGGCGTTACCGAGGTTCAGACTTCCAAGACCTGCTGCTCAGAGGAGCAATGACACGGCCCTCCTCTTTACACTCCTTTACTGGGACCTAACACTCCCGTTCAGACATTGACAAACAGTATGCCAGCTGCAATCACGACAGGAACTTCGTATTCCCTTGCTGTTGATATAGTTACACGCGCGCACACATTTGTATAGTGGTAAATACAGAAAACCATTTTACCTGCCACTGAAATGTAAGAATTTTAACAGTGCAAAATGAGGACTGTTTAACAGTGCGTGTCAACACTATACAAAAGCACCTGGGACAGGAAGTAAATGTTACTGTAGCTATTCGAACCCGCACAGAGAATCGGCGGCAGTTGGGAAGGTAACGTCCCACCCAAAACACGGGAAGAGCCTACCTCTGTAAGACCTACTTAGCAACACCACGCACCGCGGGTAGGCAGACTTGCACGTCTGCAGGCATGCCATTCAGTCTACCCTTGCAATGCTCTCCTGTCATTTTGCGCAGTATCGTTTTCCCCGTGAATGATATATAGGACATCATGGCATTCGTCAGGGGTAAACAATTCAGTGACAAAGCGCCTGTCCCATCTGTGGACCTCCAAATGACCCTGAATGCGGAGGTACAGAAAAGCTTTCCACATTCATTTGGCCCATCTCTGGTTACACGATAAGAAACGAAGTTGACACAGCAATATAAACATTATTACTGACAACGTTAAGATAGACAGTGGGCACAGGTCAGGGCACAGTATCCAGGGGATACTCTATAACAGTAGCTGTCATATTTATCTCTGACTTCTTCAGAGCCAGTTTTAGTAGTTGGAGACAGAGCACACAAAAGGACTATTCAGTGCAATCCATGGCCTGAAATAAAACAGATGCGTTGTGCAAGTTTGCAAACTCCCCAGCACAGAAGGTTGGCACATCTCCGCTCTGTAACTAAGGCCCATCTTCTTGGCAGCACCAGGAACCCTTCCACAGCCCTGGTGCCAGTGGCTGCATCTAAACTGCTCACGCTGTTTAGATGAAGGGCAGCGCAGAGGACAGAGCGCTGAGCTTGGCAATTATCAAGGATGGAGAACTGAACCAAGGCCCAGGAGCCACTCAAGTTTGTAAACCCTGCCACCAATTTTGGCTGTTAAGGTCAGGTTTTCCTCTTCTTTTTCCTCCTTTCTGGAAATTACTGAGCAGAACGGGAAAGCACGTGACAGCAAAAGCCTTCCCACTTGCTACTAGTTTTACTCTAGGGTAAACAACCCAAGAAGGTGAAGGTGCAAAGAATTGATACAGAGGTCAGATTCCAGAGACTGCAGCGTGGCCCGAAGCAGTTTTGACAATCTAGCGACTGAGGATAAAACAAGCCAGGTATAAGGTCAAGGACTGATCTGAGCCAGGTAAGTTTCATATCTGGAAAGCATAAGGGAAGACAACCCTGTTGCCATCCCAGATTTGCAATAAAACTCGTACCCACTCTAAGACCAGTCCAGAATGCTTTTGTTCATAGCTGGTATTTCAGGAATGGGTACAACCAAAGGCACCTGGTCTGGTTTTACAGACTGGAACGCTTTTGGAAAGGAATCAGATATGATTTGGACAAAAACAATGGAGGCCCAGACACAGCGGCTGCCCTGGGAGAGTATACCAGCTGCCTGCTCAGTTTCAAACCTCCAACCATATTCTTGGAGAGAAAGCAAGGGGACCTGTTAGGGGTGGCTGAGCTCAGTGCTTTGGGCCAGGTCCAGATGGTGGAGCCAGCGAGCATGAGTCCCCCCGACACAGAGGCGGCTCCATCGCCTCTGACTTAAATTTCTGGCACCAGGACAGCAGCGAATGAGACTGAGTCTCTGCAGAGACACCAAGAGCTGGGAATGAGGCAGAAGGAGATTAAAAACAGCGACACTAGCAAAGACGAAACACGAACTCAGGAGAAGAGCGGGAGGAAGCCTGGCAGAGCCCAGACAGGCAAAGCACCTGCTGGCACTGAACAGAGAGGATTGCATCTAGCAGGCAATGGGTCCCATCCTCAGCGAGCATAAATCAGCCCAGCTTCTCACTGTGAGCCTGTGCTGAGGCACAACCACGTTAAGACCCTGCTCCAGCACCGGTGGCTTGATCGCGCAAACAGAGGCAAGCACACTGCCTGTATTGGCGCGATGTACAGAATGGATAGCAGGGGAATCCAGGCTAGCATTAATGAGAGAACTGCCTCACAGCAAAGTAAATCCTCGGAGAGAAACATATAAGACTACTACAGTGCCCTCTTTCAACTCTCTCTTCAAATCCTCATCCCTGCTTGCAAACTAATCAACAGCATTCAACCAGCTGGTGTACTGTAATGCCTGTTCACAAATCATTTCATCAGGACCTGTTGTTCTTCCTCTCTATTTATTACAAAGATTTCAAAGTTCCTTGGGCCATAGATTGTCTATGAGGTGTGCATACCGCATATTGGCTTAGATTCGTCAAAACAAGGTGCAGGCAATTAACTGAGGCCCCTTATTAACAGCCTAGCCTTCTTGGGCTCAATATGAAATCAGCAGCATTTCTAGAAGTGATTCATCCCACCTCACTGACTCTTAGGAAATCCTTGAGCAACTTAGGTAGCGGTGTTAAACACCAAGAATTAGGTGGGGGGGACTCATCCAGGCTTGTGACACATGGTTCTGATCTCTACAGAGCACCTCTTATTGCTGCCAGAGTGCTAAAACACCAAACGCAGTTCACACAAATCCCCCCCTCTCATAAGATGTTTTGTCAGCTCCTCATAATCTGAAAAAAAAAAAAAAAAACCCTTTATATCAAAAAAAAACGCAGTTCCCACAAACCCCCCCCCCCCAAAAGATTTTTTGTCAGCCCCTCAAAATCTGAAAAAAAAAAAAAAAACCCTTTAAGTGCTGAGAGGCCTTGTCAGCTCCTCATAGTCTTAAAAAAACCTAAGTGCTGGGAGGCACCCTGGTTTCTAATTAGGCTCGGTCAGATTTTGTGGCCGCACATGCATTTTTAGTCAGCTAACCTGGCTAGCTTCAAACACGTGTATCTGAGATCAGTTTTTCCACTTAGAAGAGCGCCTCTACATGTAGTTTCCTCCCCTTCAGATAAGCTGAAGAAGAAAAGAAAATGAAGTAATGTCCTTGCCACCCAATACACACATGGTTCTGTCTCCCACCTCCACAACAGCTCCCAAATCAGAACACTTCAAATACAGATCTCACATCTTCCTCTACAGCCGCGTTCAAAAGCCTGCACAGCAGTGCCCTGAATCCGTGCCTTTTTAGGCCTCTCCCAAGTCTGAGTTGCCTTCTGCAGCAGCTTATTTCTCTCCGTTGACCCCAAAGGTATCCCAGCAAGCCTAGGACTGTAACTTATGAGAGCCAGGCACATGCTTCATGTTAGACAGAACAAAACTACGACTAGACTTGTACATACAGTACAAGAAAGAGAGAGAATGAGAATTGTTCATTTATACGATAAAGTTTTCAGACTCAAAGCAAGCCACAAATATGAGATGTGAATGGTTTATACTGACACCTGGTCTTCCCAGCAGCTGAATACGCATAATTCATATTGGAGTCAACTAAAGCAATGAGCAAAGCACCAGAAGGCTATGACAAAAATCGAGTCCTGGTTATGGGAACTGTAAGGAACTTAAATATCTGAGCGGGAGTGCGAGCTGAGTAATTTCTTTCAGTTTTGCTCTGTTTGAGGTTAGCAACCTCCCTACTTCGCTTTGGATTTTCACTGGGAAGGTCAAATCTCGACTGCTGGATTAGGGCTTCTGTAAACAAGCATAGTTTCTCCTGAAGCCACCAGAGACATAGGTTTGCACCACTTGCAGATCCGGCCCAATCTGAAACTCTTTCAAAGAAAGTAAATTGCATCAAATTTCTTAGGAAAAGCCCCAGATAGTTAACTGCACGTTACTGGCATCCAAAGACAGAAATCAAAGCACAGGATACTTCACAGGGTAAATCAGAGAGCAAAAAATTCCAGGATTTCTAAGCCATCACAAAAGGTTTGGAATAGCTGCTGTTTATTACACCTATTATCAGTAGTATTTGTATTTTCTGAGATCTCCAAGTGTTCTCAGCACTTTCCAATTACCAAGGAAATCAGAATCACAGCTTTTTCCATGCACCCTACCCTTTCAGGCTCATGCAAAAACCCAAAGGCTATCCAAAAGAGCAGAAAATCCAAATTTGACTCAGTCGGCCTCACTAGAAAGCACTTTCTGGGACACCTTCTTTTCATCTACCCTTTCCTTACTAGAAAACATCTGATTTAATACAATTTGTAATACTACTCAAGCCTTATAGCTGTTTAATTCCTTTCTGATATAAGTGAATTTTAATTGGGGGGGGCGGGGTTAATCACTTTTAAATCTATATGCAGGGCCTGATTCAGTTATCACAGATATTACTCACAGAACTCTGACAGTGACTCCAGGGAAGAGGTATTGACCCTCAATAGTGGTGATACGTGCAACGTACAGCACTGGTGTTGCTTTTGAATACAACTTTAACCTCGTTTCAGTGATCCCTCCTTTATGGTGGCATGCCCTTCTCATCCAGCTGCCAAAAGGAGATCTAAAAGGAATATAATAAACATCCATCAGTTATGGCTTTTTTTCCTTCTAAGCATCCAAAAACATATCTTAGATAAACAAACAAAGCAAAACACTTGGCCTGAATCAAATCTTGGCTCCAAACAAATCTGGGTAAAAAATTTGTGGCTGGGATGATCTGTCACACTCAATCGAGTAAAGTAAATCTACCTCAGATGTGTCCGCTGCCGTGATGGCCGGACTGCAGACAGTACAGTGGGTTGGGTAATGTATTTAGACGTGATTCTGGATGCAGCTTGAGGGTGTGTCTGAACGGTGGAGGCAGGGACACCCAAAATGTGTCTGCACGTGCTAATCCAGACCTAGAAACACGGAGCAGCACAGAGTAAGATGCACTTGAGTTGGTTTTACGTGAGCAAGCCAGCTTTCAGGATCGGAGTGTCTGCGTGACACTGTGCCACGCATAACTGAAGTCAGCACTGCCTTGGGGATCTGTTTTTCCCCGTGGACATGCCTTCAAGCCCGGACACATCTCGCCTAACTTTAGGGACCTGCCTGAGGTACCTCAACTGAGAGACATCCCCAAGGCACTCGCACAGTCAACGGAGAGAGAGGTACCTTTGGAGACGCTTATCTCTCACCATTAGCTACAATACCTTAGGGCAATTAGAGCTGAACGGTCTAAGCCAGGCAGTGCCTGAAGTCAGCGCCTCAGATGTAGCTTGTCCTCTGAGCGTGGTTATGCTGGCTGCTGCTTCATTCACACCCAGAAATGCAACGCCTTGGAGAGTCTGCATCACAACCCAGGCTTTCCAGACATTATACACAGAGCCGTAAGGACACGTGCGTTACTTCAGTTCCCATACAGCATGTCTTTCCTTCCCGTAGATTTTCCACCGCACTTCAAACTTCGAGGAAACGCAAGGGATTTACTGTGGCATGAGGGACTTCGGCAAGACGTATTGCCAAAATGGAAGAGGGTGAGAGGCTGCCGAACTCCAAATGGGCTGCCTTGTCTTTGTAGTTTCCACCGAGCTCAAATTTTGCCTAAAAGGGATTAATTAACATTGGACAACCCCACAGCTATTCCTCATCAGTTCTGCAGTAGAGAAGCCCATCACTATGGTGATATAACATTAAAGGGCTGGGCTCAAAATGTTATTCTGGCAGAAAGATGCATGCACAAGGCCAGAATGTGAGATCCCGGGTGAGCTGGTTGTAACTATTGTGGAGATGCTCCAGGCTTACCCTGGTGTCCCTGAGATCAGATCCTGGCCTGCAGCCTTTAAGGAGAGCTCCGTCCTGTTGTGCAGATGGTTTGTGTTCTAATTTGGAGGGGCTGAATGACTTTTCAAACCTTTGATTCCTGACTGATGCATTCACTTCAAGAGACACAAAAGTACAAAATCTCAGCATGCAGTGATACGCGTTCTTTCTTTTTCTTTTCTTCCCCTCCCCCTCACCTTGTCTTTTCTTTTATTCTCTCCCCGGACAATTTTATAATTTTGGCGTGTGGCCAGCATGTCTGTCCTTATTAGCTTGTGCTGGCTGTGAAACACCTGCAGCCCATTATAGGCAGGAGGATGAAAAAACAGACTGTCATAGGTAAAGTAATGACCACTTATTTCTTTGTTTTAACATATTAAAAGGACAATCTGGAAGGAAAAAGAATGGGGGGAGGGGGAATGCCAGTTTTACCATCATATCTGCCCTTGACTGGAATCAGCTGGAGACACTGAGTCAGATCTTTATCTGATAAGTGACTCCAACAAATAGTTGTCACTTGACGCCAGCCAAGGTTCCAGTTCATTCAATATGATAAGCACTTGCTACATTTGAATAGCGTCTTGCACACCTTTTTTCTGATTTATGCCTTTAGTATGAACTAAACGGGGATTAGGAAGAAACTTGCCTCTCAGCAGGTTATAACTAGGCTGCCTACTGGCGTATCCCTCTAACATCCCAGCTGCTACTGGCTGTAAGTGCTGCCAGACTCAACAGAGCCTCCAAAGTGGCAGGGCAAAAGGGGCACACTACAGGACAGACACGTCCAAGTCCCACTGGCATCAACCAGAAGAAAGGCTACACATCCAAAACAGTGACTGGGGCATAGGGGTAGGGATGCAGAAGTGGTATGCGGAATATCATCGGAGCTCTTGACTCTAGGGCTATGTATAACCTTTTACAGTAAATACAAAAGTTTCCGTGATCTAGGTACATGAAGACGATCATAAGCAAATCTTTCTAACTGTTCATCAGTGAGAGGCAGGATTCGCTCCCACATCTCCCTATCTACAGCACTCCTTCTTACCCCAAAGGCCAGTTAATTGTATTTCTGCAGGACTATCCATCCAGAGGAAGAACAAATCCTATTTATGATTACAGAATACTACCTCACTCCTCCTTCATCATTGTATTGGTATATAAGGATGACTGTTATTCAGTTAAGGCAGTTGGTGCCTGCTGAGGTGTTGACAGTAAAGAGATCAACACGTCCTTCGGACACTCTATTATTTAGCAGTGTCATACCATAGATATACCCGGAGTGAAGGAAAGGCCACAATCAGACCTCCTGGTATAGATGCCTAAGTAAAGGTGCATGCCTCTTCCTATGGGATGCCAGAGAGTTAGGGTCTGGCAGGACAGCTAGCAGATCATGATCTTGAACTCGGAGAACACAGTAGGCAGCTGAAACGCAGCTCCAGGAGCTCTGTTACTGAAAGTAGATTCTCTCTCCAAGGACAAGATAGTATTTCAATCCCAACAGCCCATTCAGTGAAAATACCATAGCGGGGATGTCAAGAGACCCAGGGTTCCTTCCACAATTTTGCTCTGTTTTAATCACACTTCCTTGTCTAGCTGCAAGGCAGTTGAGACATTTACCCCAGCAGCCAACGTTTCCATTTCTGCATCCAATGGAACGCAGAAACTAAAAACAAAACAAAAAGAGAGAAAAAGAACACACGCACAACTTTCCACCACGAGGGACTCTGCCAAATATTCCCACTGCTGTCCTGGAGCATGGAAATGCAAGTCTGTTGCTGCAAACAGGTCTGGCTATTTGCATTTTTAATAATTCAAGAGTTTAATTAGTATCATGGCCTTAATCAGAGGCTGAAAATACAGCTGAAGTCATCAGAGCTTAATTAGTTTTGTTAAAAAAAATAAAAAAAATTTCTTCAGTCTGAAAATGTCTCTGCTAACAGGAAGGTAAAGAGCCTCCAGGGTTTCTGGAAGAAGAGAAAGATGGGGACTCAGATTCATTCAAGGGTGGCAGGAACATTGCTGTCTAGTTTGAGGAAGACCAACAATGAATGGAGCAACAGAGTTCCAGACTGGCTCTTTTTTGTCTTAAAATGGATCACTGACCGAAAAACATGTACAACTGCCACTTAGGAGACAGAATTCTTCTTCCTGCCTCTGCCACTCGTTTGCTATACGGCCTCTGGCAAGCAAAAAGGGATTATCCAAAGGGCTAAGAATGCCTAGTTGCAGTCTTAGTCAATGGAAAATGGGGTCAGAGATTTCCAAAAGAAGAGTAAACCAGAAAAAAGAAACATTGGCCTGAAATGCTCTATGCTTCAATTTCTACCTCAGTAAAATAGATTGACTCCACCCACTGTTTGGAAGGCTTAACTTCCGTGAAGTATTTCACAAGCCTCAAGCTATACCCTGACATGCTGTCGCACTTCAAGGTGGCAACCGCTGCTCACCGTCTCTCATGGTGCAAGATGTTACATGCAATCTCCTATAAACTGTTCTACAGCTTTCTTGTTCTGGACTCAGAAAAACCTGCTTAGATTGAAAAGAACCTGTCATATCAATCCAGGTTTGTCCCTAACCTGTGTGTGAAATATACCATTCTTAGCAAGAACACCATCAGGTTTCATTGGCTCTGCATCAGTG